AATCATCTATAATATCATCATAGTTTATGGTGTTCATTATCTCTGTTTCTAAGTAGAGTAGAGCTAGAGAATTCATTTTTTCTTGAGACAATGAAAATGAGACCTTTGATCTCAATTGCTTTTTCTTCGAAATAGTCAAAGTTTTCTCGTTCTGCTATTGTAAACTCTATTAGAGGTCCATAGAGATCAGATACCGTCAATACATCTACAGATGAGCTCTGAATCTGAACACTCATTTTATTTAACCTTTCCAAAATAGCATTCCAAAATACGACCATGAACACAGTTTCAAGTTTTTCTAATTTGATGCGAATTCCCTTTGCCTCATTTCGCGGGACCGGTTTATCTGTACTGTCATTTTCAATCATTTTTAAAACTGTAGTTACTTTATTTCAGGAATCTCTTAGAATTTTACAGGCATCTGCTCTAGCCGACCAACGAGTGAGGTTCATTTTCTTGAGTGTTTTTCCTCTTCCTATCTCATTCGTTAATTTTTTCCAACGTTCAGTTGACTTCACGAAGAAAGTATATACTTCCTCTAGCAACATAAAAAAGTGGCAGGCTTCTGTACAAGACTCAGCGGCCGAGGTTACCACCAAATTCAATGAATGAGCTGCACAAGGAACAAACGTAGCAAATTGTGCTTGTTCTTGAATTTTGGCTTGTAAACCATTGTAAATCCCTGACATGNTGAGCGTTGTGTCATACAGAAGGCAAGAATTTAATAAATCTCTCACATGGTTCTCCGTTATCTAAGACATATCGAATCACAAGTGTTAGCTGATCTATATGTGCTGCATCCGGTGTAGAATCCACAATCAAAGAAAAGTACTTTGCTTTTTTTATCTCATCACTGATGTATATCAGTACTTTTTCAGCCATTAAATAAATGAATTCGTAGCAGATAGTTTTCGAAAGGTAGCTAGTTGTTCCTGATCCCTGGTTTGCATATCTTTCAATGTGTTTGGTTAGTAATGGGTCAAACTCTGCTATTAATTCTAGAAGCATAATGTAATTTCCACTGTGCTGGTCACCAAATTTTTCATTACTTCCTCTAAAACCGAGACCTCTAGAAGCTAATCCTTTTATTACAGCAACAACCCTCTTTAAAATGTTCTTCCAGTAAGAAATTTCTTCGTTAAGTTGGGCAGTTAAGGAAGATTGGATATTGCCGTGAATCATACCCCTAGCTCTTAAAGCGAGAATGCAGGATTTATGATTTAGAGAGTTTTGGTGTTGAGATACTCGAACTTCTGCATTCTTCCAATCATTGAATCCTTCCTCGTCAAACCGTGTCCTGTTCGCAAAAGATCCAAAGGCCAAACAGGGTCCACATAATACGGAGCCTTTGCTTTCCGAATAGACGAACCAATTCCTTTCTTTAACTTCATTATTCTTCATTTTTCTGTAAAATATATTTTTTGGTAAATAACGGCGATGATCGGAATACATTCTCGCACTTTTCGTGAAATCACAGGATTTGTTTTGTTCGAAACCATTTCTTGCAATAATATCTCTCGTTAAATCGCGTTATATTACTGCCACTTGTTGAAGGTCTTTCGGTGTCAGAATCAGGAGGATGAGCAGGTTTTACTGAACACGACTGATCTGACTGATTACGATAGTTCAGACTCTTCACCTCATTCGGAATAGAATCTTGTTCATATTGATTTCCCTTATTACTAGTCCTCGAATTATCTTGTACAATACGTAAACTCTCGCTGCTGTTTTCACTTTTAAAAAAAGCTTCTATTTTCCTGGTCTTCTGAAGTGCATGTTCTTGTTCATCTTTTTTTATTTTGGCCTTTTTCCTGTACTCAGCGCCACTAAGTCTCTTCCTTCCATCACTCATTTTTCGACAGTTTGAGAACGCTATATATTATAGTTATCAATCTGTAAAAAAAACACAATAGTTTATATAAATGTCATCACGATCGATTCAGCGGTTCAGTCGTGAAAGTGTAATAAACAAGCAAACAAATTCAGATTTACATTTATAATAAGTTGGTTGGGGTTTAATTGCAATATGTGAAAAATCTCTATCATATAATGTCATTAATATGTGAAACCTCTAATATAATTTATAAGTTATAAGAAAATATAATACTTATTTTACGAGAAAAAGGCTCCACATTAATATACCTACACCTAAAAGCTTGCCGAACTATTTTAGTTCCCGCGCCTAGAACTTCCAGGTCAGTCAGACTCTTAAATTTTCTGAGCTACTTATATATTTCTTTGGTTTGGCTGGCCAAAGTCATTAAAGTGAAAGATACTTTAACGGTTTAAATTGCGGTTTACATAAAGTGTAATACATAATAAGTATTTCTACATTTTTGGATTCTACATTTTCGCGGAGTTAACCGCAACCACGGAAGCTGTAAAGCATAAAAGCAACCGAAACGTCGGACTCAAAATAATATAAAAATGTAGAAATACATAAATAAACCACCAATGTGAAACTATCTTTCATTTTAATGAGGGACAATTTTCATTTTCATTTAATGAGTGTTAATGACAAAATATATTAAAGTATAGCACACTATTGTGTAGCACTTACCTATATCAATAAAAACTGAAGCTTAACAACAAAGTATATTGAGAATCACTGTGATTTTTTATTCAGTAGTCGTTACGTATTTTGTTTAGGTAAATAAAGTAGGTATTCAAAGACAAGACCATGGAGACTATACAAGGAGCCCGAACTCCATGTAAACAAAATTCTAACAAAAATAAGAGGGCGCTAGTGTTCCATATGTCCCATAGGTAGAGAGGGGAGATAAAAAAGCGGCAGTTTGAATTATAAATCAATCATGTCATTTTTGTGATGTGTTACAAATTTTAAAATAAATAATGTAAGCTACTTTGAATTATATAAATCATGAAAATATGTCATTCCGGACTGTAATTAAACTAAATAGATAATAAAAAATATTAGCTTTATGAGAAGAATTTGGTGTTCGTAGAAAGAAACTAGTTTTCAAGGAATTTATGACGTGATCTTGTTAATATTAACCTATAAGTAAGGTTTATGTTTTTGATAATTACTTTGTTAAAGATTTTAGTTTAATGTTAGTAAAAGTCACATTTTATACAGGAAGTTGCCTTTAAAAAAATAGTAATTCTTGTATTATTAATATGGAATTTTTACTTGTGGTAATAAAAAATAGAATATAAAAAAACTCGGTGTTTTAAATAAACTTTTTAAAATATTACAGATGTCCGATTTTGAGTCCAGTGATTCAGATGACTTATTAGACGCATTGTCCAGCTTGAGAGTGGTGATGAAATAGATTTATTCTAAGAAACAGATAGAGTAAAAAATAAGAACTACTTTGAAATTATTGTACCTGAATATAGTGGCCAAGTTTTTTTAACATTTCCGTGTTAGCATATGGGAAGTAGCTAACAGAATTGAAGAAAAATTTGCCATTTCTAATTATTTCACCCATGATTCTGGTAAATTTTGCATTGCCTTAAGCTCTACAACAACCAGAAAAGTTACATACTTGCTAAGTAACTTGTCTCCATAAATTATAGAATGGCCGAGATAATGAGGCAGTTGTAATCGAACAATATTTTGCCCAATATGAATTTCCAGAGCAGGTTATAGGAATAATTGATGGGAAAGGAATTCATATAAGATAGAGTATATCACAATCCATTTTTTTTTTGAATAACCAATAATATACTATATTATAGTGTAACTGAAAACTGACTATGGAAAGTCGATAAATTATGGTTGGACAATTTCTAAGCTGATTGCCATGTTGTCGGTTTAGACTTCTCAATGCTTCGAGAGTCATATCGCTCTCTTCTCAAAATGTCAAGAAGCTTAAAACAACATGACAACCAATTGATACCAAAATTTTAACAAAATATAGGTACTCCATTATAAAGGTCACAAAAAATAGGTAATCTAAATATTTTATAACTGTTTAAAATCGATTAGTTTTCTGGGTATATATTTTAAAATTGCTGTAAAATTTAATTCTACTTTCGTAAAATTGTTGATTTAATTCGAACGTAACATGGTTCCATGACTTATTCCAAGGTAGAGTATAGACCAAAATTAATAAGGTATTATAAAGAAATATTTTAGCAATGTTCTATATTTTTGTTATATATTTTGTAAAAATAAAATGTTTATCTACCAAAGATTTCAATGTTTTATTAATTGAATCAAAAAAACGAAATTATTTGTGCCTAATTAAAATAAAATAAATATTTATTCATAACAAACAAGTAACAAAGTAAATATATATTACAAATAAAACAACTTAAAAATAAGTAATACGTGTCAGTCTATCTTCTTAAAATTTCATTTTGTTCATGAAGCAATTGATTTCCATGTTTAAATATTTAGTAAAAGTAGTCAATTACCAATACAGATCGATCAGCATCAATTACTACACGTATCCTCTCTTTAAATTTTATATGATATCTGAATTTCAATCAGTTTTTTACTAACAGGAAAGAAACAGCAACTAATTGGAAATGATTTATTCAATTCAGTAATGATAATAGCGATGTCACCAGCAAGAATTATATGAAAGATACGAATTTAATTATTTATGCACGTAATATAAATTACAAGAATATGTAGAAATAAATAAAGTATACTTTGTTGCTATTGTCAATATTATGTGAACATATTCATAGTTGCTTTGTCGAGACCTCATCACACGTCAACAGAACTTTTCTTTTATTAGATTATACAGGACAGGATGCTCACTTTCTAGTATAATCTCATCGTAACTTAATTGCTCTTGATTTACTTGCTGTTCTTGTTGTTGTTGTTGTTGTTGTTGTTGTTGTTGTTGTTGTAACTGTTGCTCTTGTTGTAGCTGCTGCACCTGTTGTTGCTGGTGTAGCGGATGCTCTTGCTGTTGATGCTGCTGCAAAATATATAAAGAAACAATGCATCATTCAATTATACAATATTTTCACTTATGAAATCTTTCTATTTAAAAATTTCTCTACCGTATTAAGAATCAAAGAAGCTGCTTCCAACTTCCGAATTATTCGACCTTTTGCCATAATATTAACCCACTATTCGGTCAAGTTGTAATATAGAACTGCTGGACATCATTAGATTGAAAATGCAGATTCTAGTTTTTAAGTTTAGTATACCTCCCATCTCCCCAATATATCTACTAAACTCGATATAAATAAAATAAAATTGGTTATTTGCTTACTTCACTCGTATTTGTGAAGCTACATTCATTTGGGACATATGGAACACTAGCGCCACCTCAACTTCTGCCATTTCTTGGACAAATTTTGTCAATTTTTCCATATGAGTTCGTGCTCCTTATCTAGTCTCCATGGACAAGACGACGAGAGTGTAGCGTGCGTATGCGATCGGTGCTTGCAAAACAAAACACTGGGCCAGTGGGGCGTCGGGCGCAGACGGCTCGAAGAGTGCGGGCGGGAAGCGGGGGTTGTTACGTTGCCACTGCCGTCCGCCCGCCTCGCTCCTCTCATCTATCACTCACACGATAATATAAGTTTCGATAGGAATGAGTTTCTATAGGGATTTTTTTAAAGTATAAAAAACCATGAGAAAACCAGTGAACGTGTTTAACTTTTATCCTCTGAACTCAAGTGACCCTCCTCTGAAATCTGCCGCCCCTAGGACGCTGCCGCCCCTAGGCCGCGGCCTATACGGCCTATTTATAAATCCAGGACTGGATAATGGTCTGTTAAATATGTTTGTATAATCATTGGAGTTATCAGAATTTTATGAAAGTTATGGTCTTTTCTAATGAATATATGTATGATCAATAGCACTCTTTGTCTGTTCGATTACTCTTGTTGGCTTATTGATATATGAAATAAAACCATGTTCTGCTAACAAGTTTAAATAATTATTTACATTATCAGAAAATGTATCTAAAATGTTTATATTAATATCACCTACAAATATTTA